CACTTTTGGGCCATAATTTGGGCCAAAAATATCTATCTAATGCCATATTGGGCCTTATTGGGCCATGAAGAATTATTTCAAGCCTCTTGGGCCGAAAACCCTTACCATTTAACCTCATTGAGCCGCAAACCCGTAGATGGGCCTTCATGGGCTGAAAATCCTTATTGGCCTTCATGCAACCTCTCCAAATCCGATCGGCCCTTAGATTTTTAAAAAAAAATGAAAAAATGGGGGGGGGGGGTTGACTTTGGTAGTGCCACCTCAATAATATTCACCATATAACAAGGTGATTATTCACCATACTTCCATGCAACCTTGTTTAACCAACATACATCAAGAACTAGCCATTTCTCCTCCCTTATCCCCCCCATCGGCCGAACACATGGCCACCCTCCTCATATCATCTCATTATTCAACTCTCAGTCTATACCATACTCAAGTTGTTTTATTCCATTTCATGCTAAAATCATTCCTCAAAACCACTCTCTTTTTGTGTTTATTCTCCTAGAAACCATCTTGGGTTCGAAAATCTCTTCAAGATAGCAAGCTAGGCCAATAACTGTCTCCACCTTCCTCTTCAAATCCGAAAAAGCCCAAGGTGAGCTTCATACCCCCCTTGTTTTTGAGTTTTTCCTTGTTTTGGGGGAGGATACAAGTCAAGGTCTTGTGTAATCTTTATATATTTGTTTGCATGTGTATGTTTTACATGTTTTGGTGTGTGAAATGTTGTGATGTCTTGCTAAAATCTCACAAATTCAAGATTTATCCAAGTCTTGAAGTTGTTGGAACAAGTTACCTTATGTAACTTCTTATGTTTTGTTGAATATGTTAAATATGCTTAGAAACTCACCATGAAACTAAAGAAGAACTTAATAAGGAACTTATTTGACAATAAAGTGGAAAATGGGTATCTTTGAGTCATTTTCGATAAAAAAAAGAACCATTTTTTACAATAAAAATAAACTTGGGCCTTTATTGTATATGTTAGTATTAATGAGCTAAAATGGTCATTTTTGATAAAAAAAAAAAAAAAAAAATAGGCCTTTTATGACATTTTCAGTATTAATGGGCTAAAATAGCCATTTTTTATTAAAAAAATGGGTTTTTTATGACATTTTTTAATTAAAATGGGCCAAAAAGGAACTACTTAACAATCTTGGGCCAAATATGACATTTTTATTTAGAATGGGCCGAAAATGGACTATTCAGCAAACATGGGCCATTTTTGAATACTTTTGTAAAAATGGGCCTTAAATGAATGTTTTTATAAAAATGGGCTATTCTTGACAACTCTAGTAAAAATGAACCACTTTTATATCCTCAAAGATAATATTAATGTGTCATTGTTAACACTTTGGATAGTATTGGGTCTTATATAGTTTAAATTGAGCCTTATGTGATAATTCTATTTTATTGGGCCTCTAGTAACAATAATAGTACCAATGTGGTATTTTGACATTTTCGGTAAAGCGATTATATTTTTATTGCTTATGATTTGTAGTCAAAATGTACCCTAGTAACATTATTTATGACGTTAAATAATGAAAATCATTACTAGCGTAAAATTCGTTAAGGCTCTTGTGAGACGCACCTTCACCGTACCTATCTTAGTGTACACCGTAAACCTTGTAGTTATAACCTGAGTCTCCTGGAGGGAGAACGGGAATTTTTGTATAGATCTATACGGGGTTGACACCCTACACCTGAGCTGCTCGCTACAGTTGGACAGGCAGTCTAGGGTGATAAATATCTTCTTAGAAACCGACGCTTGAAGAACGTCAAGACAGGCACTCCGTCATATTAGTATGGTTATAACGACTTAGATAAAGAATAATAATATTATATTAAAATTTATGCAATATCTACACTTGACACATGTTGTGAAGTACGAACCTATGCATCATATATTTTACATCTACTTTCATCATATAGGTCTTAGGGTTTAAGACCACACTTTTCATATAAAAGAAAATACAGGGTTTTATGGGGATCACTCACTATACATTTTCAAACAACTCTAATATAGAATACACATGCAATTATATATGATTGGAAACAAAACTCACAAACTATTTTTTTACAAGAAAATATTTGATTTTCTAGAGATTTACAAACTACTACAAAGTTTTTATATAAACATATTTATGAACTCACCAACATTTTATATGTTGACGCTTTTCAAACGACTTGTATTCTCAGAAACACATTGAGCCAGACTCTTTATAGCTATGGATTCTGAATGAATGTTGTATTTTGGTTTCATCATACATTTGTTATTTTAGGATGTAATTTGTTATGAACAAACACAATACTATAAACCAGGCATGTTGAAATTTTGAATGTATGATGATGATGATGGTCATGTTTCCTTTATATACATTGTTATGATATTACAAGATGAAGTCATTCACCCCCGGACGTTTCTACCGTTTCGGTTCGGGGGTGTGACAAAATCTGTCAAATAAGCCCCCCCAAGCCGATTTCCTGCTCATCATACGACCCACCGGCAACCCAAAGTACATTAAAGGAAACCTATCAGCCCCACAACCAGTACATGCAGCCACTTGCTCAATAGTTTCTTCACTCGCACCAATCCTATATAATATGGATTTATGAAGATTAATTTGCAACCCAAAAACCATATAAAATAGTCTAAGAATTCGAATTAACCTTGTATGTTCTCGGCATCCCATTCTCCAAAAAAGATAGTGTCATCTGCATAAAATAGATGAGAAATATTGAAATTTTGATCTCCAATAGAAACGCCTTTAAACATCATATTATGAGTAGCATCCTCCATGCACACATGTAAACCCTCCATAACCAATATAAAGAGAAAAAAAGATAGAGGATCTCCTTGTCTCAACTCTCTTCGAAGCTAGAACTCATCTCTAGGGCTTCCATTTAAAAGAATAGAAGATCTCGCAGAAGTTAAACATCCACGAATCCACATACGTCATCTCGCACTAAACCCCATTATCACCATGAGTCTATCTAGGTACTCCCATGAGACAGAGTCATGTTTTTTGGAAATCAACTTTGAACATCATCAACTTCCTATTTTTCATATTCACCCACCGAACAATCTCATGGACCATAAGAGGCCCATCCAAAATTTGTCTACCCTTTATAAAAGTAGATTGCACTGGATGAACAATAGAGCTAACCACCTTAGCCAATCTATTAGCCAATAATTTTGCAGTAATTTTATACTGCAAACCAATTAAACTGATTAGTCTATTATCTTTTATCTCCATGGGATTATCAACTTTAGGAATTAAAATGATAAATGATTAGTTACAACCGGACGAAATTATACCAGAAACATAAAACTCCTGCAAAAAATCCCAAACATATTTTTTAAATAATTCCCAAAATTGCTTGAGGAACCGAAAAGAAAACTCGTCAAGGCCCAGAGCTTTATCACCACCACACGACCAAACGACTTCACGAATTTCATCTTCAGAAAACGTGGAATGAAGATCCTCAATCTGATCACCACTTAATTTTTGAAACCGGGAGCTAGGAGACTGGAGATAAACACCCTGATAATGCTCAAATTTCTTCTTGTAAAACTCTCAAAATTCTTTTTTTTGCTAACATCGGAATGTTGACCCATTCCGCATCCAACGAAATCCCTTCAATTGCCATTTGTTTTCTTCTTCTATTCAACATGCCATGAAAGAAATTAGATTTTTTATCACCTTCTATCGCCCATCTTATTTTAGACTTCTGAACACAATCTAAAATATCATTCTTATCAATATCGACACGTGTTGAAAGAGATTCGTTCTCTCATTTAGTATGTTAGCCGAAACCATCCCATCATCAAAAAGTTTGTCAATCTCAGAAATATGATTGATAAACCCTTTTCGCTACTCATCTTTCGAACTTTTCATACTAGATTGCCAAGTCTTAATTTTAACCTTGACAAATTTAAGTTTATTCTTCAAATTCAAACACTTACTAATAGAATTATCTAGAATGAAATCATTAAAAAAAAAAAAAAAAAAAAAAAAAAAAAAAAAAAAAAAAAAAAAAACCCTCCATGTGCAACCAGGAATTAAAAAGTTTGAAAGGAGTAGGACCATAATCACTATGTTCTTCTTTTAAAAGAATCACACGGTGATTAGACCATTATATGTCAAGAGCTATATATGAAATATTCAGAATATCATCAAGAAGATTTTCAAAAATGAGAAATTTGTCAAGACAACTTAGCTTACTCCAGCCCTATTCATCTGAGTAAACTTTCTACCACATATAGGAACATCAACAAGCTCTCCCTCATAAATAAAGTTATTAAATTATGTAGCTTGAGCAAAACAAAACACCGAACTTGCTCTTTCATTCGAGGACCTAACCACGTTAAAGTCACCAAAAACAATAAAAGAACTTGTAGTACGAGCCATGACCGAAAGAATAAATATCCAAAGATCACGCTTTTTTTTTCCAGCCTCTTGTGGAGCATACACATTAAAAAGACTACATTTAATATTATTCGTAACCGAAAAACCTTCAACAATAACCACATTTTCATTACATTGCACCCGATCCTTCTTGAAAACAATCGGGTCCCAAATAGAAAGGATACCACTTGACTTTCCCCTAGCATTACTACATGCATAATCAAATGTGGAATTTCCCCTACATAGATCTTATTTTAAACAGGTCCACTCGAGGCATACTTGTTTCTTGTAACCCGAGAAAATTCACCATATTTGAATTACACAATTCTTTCACCAAACCATGCTTTTTCAGCGTTTTTATCCCACAAACATTAAGAGACAAACTATTCATGTGGAGTGAATTACTCCCACACCGGTTAATCTATTTTTAAGATCAGCCTTGGAATTTTCAACATCATATCCAAGCACCTTTCCAAATTCTATAATTCTGGCAACTTCATCACATGAAACACTCCCATTACTAGGATTGATTTTCTTCAATAACTTAACCGATCCCATACTCCATGATCGCTTGTAATCATTACCCAAATACTAGAAAGCTCCACGACTTTCTTGAAACCTTTTACCTCCAAAACCCGAAGGTTTAGATAGGTTGGAATCATTTATGAGAGAATTACTCTCAGTTTGATCATGTTCCTGTGAAATATATTTAGCATCTTCACCAGATAGCTCTTGATGAACTTGAGTCTCTTGTTCAACATGAATGTTTTGATCAACTTTAAAATCCACTCCTTTTTCACATCCTAGATAGTTTTTATCAACATCAACATCATTATTTACATGGTTCACATTTACCTGTTGCTTCCTACCCAATATAAAGTTATCATTTTCACTATCCACTTTTGTTTCCTTCTCACACTGATATGCATTATCCTCTTCATTATTTACCGAATAATTTTCAAAGAAATCTCCGATACCACCTTCAAAACAACCTCTAGAACTACTCTCATCTTCTACAAAACTGCCTTCATTTGCAACATCAGGTTCCCAAAGTGTCATCTCTTTTACATGAACCTGATACTCTTTTTCTTAAATTACCACACATATAGATTCCTGAATGAAAGACATAACTCATGTCTGGACACACACTTTCCTTGCAGACATATAGTTAGACTCATCATCATCTGAAAACAACACCTGCCCCCAAATAGAAGCAACCTTCTTGAAAACACATGGATTCCAAGCACACATAGGGAGTCCAATAATCTCAATCCACACAACTATATACGAAACAACAAACTCATTTGCAATAGAACGAATTTTACTAAAAATATTTTGAATTCCAGCATTACCAGAAAAGTTTTTACATGCTTTCTCTGAATCAAATGAAATCCACACCCACATACCTTATTTTAATTGTGGAGAATCCCTCTTCAGTGCACATGTTAATCAGTTTTGGTATCATGGAAGCATCATAAACCTCAGCATGAAGTGTTTTTTGCGTATCAGTCGTTCCTGTTAACTCACATCCATTAATCATCACTTTTCGCAACTGATTGGATACGTTATGAGTACTAGTCCCTTCACCCATAACAACCTTTGCATACAATTTCTTTTTTTAGCCTCATTTTTACTTCTCACGTTATCCTTCTGCTTTTGATCTTGCTGGGATTTTCTTTTTCTACCATAATATCCTCCTGTCTTATATATTTTGATATTGAGGCAAAGACATGGTAATTGCCAAACCATATCTCACATAGTCTCCTTTCTAGTTCTTGATTGTTCTTGACTTTGTTGAAATTGACAAATCCAAATCTTCTACCCATTCTTGATCTCCTCTGGGCAATATAAACATCAACAACAGTTCTAAGCTTTTCACATCTTTTCCATAATTCCATTGGTTGCAGATCTCCAGGTAAATTTGTCACGTAAAAAGAAACCGAGATTTTGTTTATTGCATCATACTGTGATTGATACCTTCCACCCCTAGTTCTTTCTCGATTCCTGTCTCTATCTGACCCATCTCTGACACGTGAATTCTTCTTTCTCCCAACCTGTCTCTGATGGGTATTATGCAAAACATATAAATCCTATGTGTGCATGCAACCTTAATAATTGATCTATGTTTTTTCTAATTGAACATGCAACTTGAACAACAAAATAGAAACCCTAGAACACTAGTATATTATCGAAAAAATACAAATAGGGTTATAAGAATCATACCTTGATTGTTATGTAGTAATAACAATGTAAATCCTTGTGTTGATGAAGCCTTGAGAGCAAACGTCACAAATGCACACCTCTAGTGGTTCACATCCAACACTAGCAAAGTAAGATGATTGAGAAGAAGGAGAGATGCTAGAAAATTCGGTTATCCCTTCAAAATAAATAGTGGCCAAAAATCTTAGGGTTTAGGTTGTTTATATAGTGCAGTCAAGAAACCCTAAATAAGCCCCTACTCCACGATTATCTTAAACCGGATAATTATCCACTTTCCTATTTATCCAACAGGTATTATTTTAGAATCCCTTAATCATGAAGAAACCATCCATTCCTAATAGAGGGTTCTAGATTGCCTCTTGTTCAACTATTAAACAATTGCACTTCATCCCCTGCATTTTTAATTAATTCCTTTAATCTCAAGATTAATTTCAATTAATTTCTGATTATATATTAATTAAATATTACTATTTCTAATTAATATATTATTCTCATAATATATTAACAAATCATTTATTTCAATTTATTAATCAAATAATAAATCAACCCCCTTCTCCAAAATCATCTATCCAGTTGCTAGTTTTGAGGGCAACCCAAAAGGAATGTGCTACTATCAATTTAAGTATATAACAATTATAGTTATGGGCATAGACACCTAATCAAACAGTCTTCCACTTTGATAAGTCTAATACCTATAGTTGCTAGTAAACTTCAAATTTTGATTAGCAAATTGTAACTCTCAAAAGTTGTTGTCGAACTCTGACCCCGTCAAATATGTGTCCTAAGATAAGTGATCATGTAATCCTTCGTTATGCAATATATCATGTGGACATGAGACATGGAACATAATCAATCTCATTGCCCAATACTTTTTTTCCCGATTTCTGATTTGTAATGGCAAAGAACTACTAATCGAATACATCAATTTAGTCATGGACGGTCCTGACACTATAAGTCAACACTAAATTATCGAGGGGCCCAAATATATCGTTTTTTTTCCGTTAAGTCAAAAGTAACAGATGGACTTTGACTTATATGCTTGTGATTTACTCACCAAATTACGCACAAAAATATGTTTTATAACATCAAGTTACCGATGCGTTTACATATTATCAATGCACAATCGATTTGTAAACCACGACTCATATATCTTCGTTTAAATATTATAAGATATTATCGTCTCATAATTACTCGTGATAAATTCAATGAAGTAATTCTGAGCGTGGGTTAATCCAATACTTAAAATCCCTATTTTCAAGTACTCATGAATTTTGCAGCAAACTGTTGTTATGTCTAAACCCTTAGATAATCTACAATCCAATTTATGACAGCCTTAATTCGCTAATTACTTCCAAAAGTATGAACGACTGTGGAGTTTGAATAATCCAATTATTTTGGAAGTAAAACATGCAAAATGAAACACAAAATAAACAATAGACAAAAGGTAGTAATCCAACTCATAAATAAATCTCCATTACTTAATCACCAGAAGTCAATTACATTTATTTTGTTACAAGTTTCTAAATACCCAGCTAACTACTAAAACTAATATCATCCTTCGGTCCAATGCTCCTAGCATTCTAAATGTGCTAGACATTACTCAGACCCTTTATGAGGGGATCTATTGGATTCCCTTCTGATGACACTCTCTTCATGACGATGTGACCTTCTTCTACTCTGTGTCTAATGAAATGATATTTTTTGTCGATATGTCTCGATTTGTCATGATCGCTTGGTTCATTTTTCAAGGCAACCGCTCCTTCATTATCACAGAAAATATCCATTGGCTCCTTGATAGATGGAAAAATTCCAAGGTCTCCAATGAATTTCTTTAACCATATCGCATCTTTTGATGCTTCGCTTGTTGCTATGTATTCTGATTCACAGGTAGAATCAACCACTATCTCCTATTTTGAACTTTTACAGGTTATCGCTCCTCCATTAAGGGTAAACACCCAGTCAGATTGAGAATGAAAGTTGTCTTTGTTTGTCTGAAAGTTGGCGTTACTATACCCGGTTACTCTTAAGTTATCATTGTCACCAAGTATAAGGACACAATCCTTGGTTCTTCACAAATACTTAAGAATATTCTTAACTGTTATCCAATGAGCTCTGCCTATATTTCCCTGATAATGACTAACCATGATCAAAGAAAAATCCACATTAGGATGAGTACATGCCATAACATACATGATGGATCCAACGGCGAAAGCATATGAAACTCTACTCATTTATGTTATCTTTGCATCAGTACTCGAGCTCCAAGTCTTACTCAGTTTGGTATTACTCTGTATGGGCAGTTCTCCATTTTTTGGAATTCTCCATGCTAAAACACTTTAGTACTTTTTCCAAATACATACTTTGACTAAGTCCAATTACCCTTTTAATCTTGTCTCTCAAATTCTTATCCCCAAATATAAGCAGCCTCTCCCAGATCCTTCATAGCGAAACACTTCCCAAACCAAGACTTAACTTCTTCCATATTGTAGGATATGGTGTTGGATCCTAGCCTTGATATTTCATTTGGGTGTTATATCAAGGATTCCAATCAACTAACTTGAATTTCTCCCGTTTTGTAGATTTCAAAGTCTGAAAACTATGGTCTTCCTGAATCCGTTGGAAAAAGTTTTCCATGTGAATATGATATTCCACGATTGGATTGTGGAAATGGAAATCATGCTTCACTTCCTCTACCTCCTCCAATAATTCTCTCTGACCCACATGTTCGAAGACTTGAAAAGTTCAAGGTCACACAAGCCTTATTGGCAAAAAGACACAAAGATGGAAAGTTTGTATGTTCTCATGTGGGTTCCTCAAAATACTACATACAACACATCACAAAATAAACAATTATGGGTTATCAACAACCTTGGATACTACCCTAAGTCTCGGTGGGCAAACACCACGCCCTGTGGGTTATCAACAACCCTAGAGACTACCCGAAGTCTTAGCACACACAATAACACATATCACGGTAGTAACACATATATCTATCTAGTTGTTACACACACACACACACACATATATATATATATATATACATACATATATATATATATATATATATATATATATATTCTACTACGCATATAAGAATAGTGAGAAGACTCAGGTTGCACAAAAGACTGATAGAACTCACACTCGAACTACTGAAACTAGACTCTGCCTAATAATTGCACCAATTAACCCTAATTAATTAAGTTAATTTCCATACTCTATTAATCCCAAGCCAAGTTTAATCAACATTTAGGGCAAAAGATTGTTTTCCCCTTCCAAGACCAAAAACCCTCACAAGTTCCCTTAAAGGCACATTTAGCCAAAATTCGAAGAAAGTCAAAACTTGGCC